TCAGTAAATAAGTTGGTGTTGCTATAAAAATAAAATATTCATGAATTAATTATCCATAAATGTGTATTGTGAAAATACTCTTGATTGTTTCTGGACGGGTTGCTTCTGTAGAACACATGCTGCAAGTATGTAGATATATGTGTCAGAAAAAAAAAAAAAGTGTGTGTGATGACCTCCATTAAAATAAATTAGGCCTACATATTATTGTCTGATTTTTTTTGTGGGATTTCCTAAGCACAAAATAAGTAGCTCCTGTAAAGTTTTGGTGTTGACCTTCTCATGATCGTCACAGTAGATGTCTTTTTTATTTCTTTTACCCTTCCAATCTACAGCAATGAGAAATGTCCAAAGACTTCCTGAGGCAATTAAGTCCCTTTCTGCTCTGAGGCTGTTAAGAAGAAAATTTTGTAGAAGTCTCTTATGAACAACTGAAGTTGATATTGTTAAGAAGATACTAGTTCTCTACTCTTCTCCTCCTATTTAGACCACTATGGAAAGCACCCACTTTTACCTGAGCCCAGGCTGCTATTGCAACATTGCAAAATTGCTGAGCAGCTTCCTTTTTCTGCTTAACTATTATCAGTTTTATCACCTGAGAGTTTCCATCAAATCATCAGTTAACATCAAGCCCCAAAACACACTATGAATGGAGGTGGCACCTTTCCCTGCCACATTATTTTTCCCGTGAAAAGAGCAAGAACTTATTCACAGCATCTGTTCTCTTTCTTGTCTTAGGGGTGTACTTCCAACCCAAAAAGTTATTTTTAAGACACAAGCATTTGGAAGGCTGACACACAGGTATGGATTAATTTATCAAAGCATCAGATTTTCCAGAGGTTTGGGGTTTTTTATGTTACCCCCCTTTGATTGCAAGACAGCAGGATGTGCTGAAGAGACAGCAACATAGGTATGAAAAAGGAATTCAACCACAGGCAAGGTGACAGGGAAGAACTAAGATCTGTAACTGTCATATATTAACTGATGTAAACTACAGAATTTTTTTATTCAGCAATAAGAAATATTAGTAAACAGAAATGCACATTATAAAATTATGACCTTTTAATGAAAACTGTAATAAGCTATTTTTTTCAGCTGGAAAAGAAAAAAAAAAAGCAGCTTTTATCCACAAGGCAATCAGAAGTTTACAATCTTACTTTTCACTTTAGTAAAGCACTTTTATGGGCTGGATTGTTCTGGGGGAAGGGGAAGTCTCCTGATTTATTTTTTTTTCAACATAGTGTAATTAACATATATAGGTCACCACATCAGATGTAGAAATCCTCCACCAACACACTGCTTTTGAAATAATGCACTGGATTCAAAGACTACACAGAACTGTATTCAAAGTACTCCATTAACAGCAGGTGTTGTACAAAAAAAACCCAACAACCTCTCTTTAAAAGAGCTTTTAATTACTATATATCTTTGTTTAGAAGCCACCTTCAACCATTCGTTCCTTGAAAGCTGCAGGGGAAAGCAATGAAATGTATGAGAAAGCCACCTCAATTTAAAGCTGCAGGAAGAAGCAATTAGTGTAGCAGAAGTCTTACCTTGTACACAAAGAAATATGGTACATGAAGTCACCAGAGGCTGGGTATTACTTCAACATAATTAATACATTCTGTATATTTAAAATGTGTGACTGCTGACAGTTGAAAGTCACAGTTGGCTGTATGGCCCATGTTTATTCCCATGTCTCCCTATAACAATGGAGTTGGCTGTTTACACAGAATTACATTTATATATCTCAGTTGTGTAATTTACACCTTCTCTAAATTCCCTTTACACAGGTGAAGGTTTTCAATATAGCTGAATGAGCCACGTTACTTCTACAGGGTCTATTTATTTGAAGTAAGGCCATTTAGATAAATCTGGCTGAAGAAAAAAATTTTAAAAAAAGACTTTACAAGAGGAGGAAATCGATCTTTCCATTCTCTTTTTTGGTATGTACTAGGTTTACAAGTCTTCATTTTAATACAGGGACTAATCTTATACCAGGGTAAAACCCCTTCTTTAACCCTTTTCCCATTATAGTATAGCAAAGTATATATATAGACATAGTGCAAAAAGGGATTTTGAAGGTTTGTTTTATTTGGTTTTGTTTTTTTTTTTTTTTTTTAAAGGGAATGCAAATTGGCCAAAGGTTTTCAGTGTTTGTAGAACCTAAGCCTTGATGGTTAATGTCATGAAAACTTGGGGGAAGGGGGGAAACAGATAAAAAAAAGACATAAACATAAACAAAACCCACACCCACAACATAAAACCAAAAAAAACAAACTGTCAATATGAACTCTACTGAAGTTAAAGGCAAAAATGTTCCTGACGCAAACAAGACCAGAAAATGCTTCACTCTATGGTATTTCGAAAAGAATACAAAGGTTAATTAGATACTTTCTGTTGCATTATATAGTAGGAAACTTCCATTAATTACTGCTTCTTTAATTTAACCGATTCATTAAAAACTGGCTATAGAATCACAAAGAAAGTATTATCTTCCCCATAATACCTAATTTACTTCTACATTCCAGAACCTAAGACCCTTAATCAAAATTAGATTTTAACAGAGACATTGACTGGTTAATAGTAACGTACAGCATCACTAAACCCCTAAAAGGAATGAAGCTTCCACAGACCTCAGTCAGATGCTGCTTTTCTAAATACTTAAATGTTTGTTCTTTTGTTTTCTAGTGTCCTACATTACAGGAGAAAAGGTTGATATTAACAGCATACTTTGCCACTATTTTTATTTGAAGCTAATAGCAAAAGTAAGCTGTTTCTATAAATGCTTGATTTTATGAGCTCTTGTGCATTTTCTCAACCAATTAGTCAAATCACCTTCTTGACTGTATCTCCTTGCTAAATCTAGCTTTTTTAGGTTTTGTGATTTAGTGCACTACTGTATTCCATTAAAGGCAAAGTTCAATTATTTGTCTTTTGAAGGTCTGAGTGCCTTGCTTAAAATGCCAAGTGCATTAGAAACAGGCCACCCTTGACTTTTGCAAGGAGACATAGAAGGATAATAAGTTAGTTGGATTTAAGGGACTTCTTAAATTGAGCGTGTGTGTGTATGTGTGCATGAAGGTAGCAAAATAAGGATTAAATGCTGTCAAATCATCAAGAACACTTTTTTGTTAACTATTTACCATATTTTCACTTAACGAGGAGCAAAACAGAAGGAAAGTCTTGGGGTTAAAACAAAGGACGGGGAAGCAGAAGACCCTGAACTTGGATGAAAATCTATACTAAAGCATTTTATTAGCACAAAAGCAGGGCTTTAAAGCCACATACACGTAAACCTGAGTAAATTCTAGTAGAACACTGCATTTTTGCTATAACTACTTGGGGAACCTACTGCTGTACCCTTTCCAAATTACGTTCACTGCCTTAGAAGTTTCTGTTTCCACTTTGAGGACAACTCTCTATGCTGTCTTTTTCCTCTGTGCTGAGATTGAACTCATAGGTGGTAGCAAAAATTCTTGTAGACAGCATGAGGCTGCTGAGAGATCTTGGTGAATTCAGCAAAGAGAGGGTTCTCAGCCATGCCAATTCAAACCTCCTATCTAGAATGGTGAGAGTTCGCTACCATCTGGAGAAATGGCTTCAGGTGGTCACCTGTTAAAAGGAGGCTTTAAAAAAAGAAGAAAAACGACTTCAAATTTGACTGTGGTCCCAATCTGACATGGCTGTTTGTTCATGAACAGGAGCTTTACAAGGGGTGTGGGGCAGACCTCTACACCACGAGCCCTGTTGTGCAACTCCTGGTGGTAGGAGTCACCTTATCACAACCACTTCGATGAGTAAAGGTAGCAGAAGTGATGCAGCCATAGTAGCAATTAGTTTCTGAACAGTTTTTAAAAATCTATTTAGAAGCCAATTGTCTATGACAAGCATCTTCAGCATGCATGTATCTCTTCCTGTGTAAATGGCAAACTTTGAGTAAAACTGAAATTAATTTAATTAAGTTTAAACATCTCAGCTTTTTATTTTATGGTTACACACATAGGTAGAGCAACAACTGAATATAAATGTTGCATATTTACTGTGGCATGATCCAAGCAATTACTACTAAAGTATTAGAGAAAAGCATCATTTCATTCTTTTAATTTTATTTTGTAATTGGGTGGGAACCATATTTTGGTGGATACATTTATAGTTAGAAGTTATAGATTATGCTTCTCTTTGTTTTAGAAGGATGATTTTAGTTCTGTTGCTAAAAGCCTGTTAGCAACAATTAAAATAGCTATTAAAAAAAAAGCATTTATAGCTTTTGTACTTGTTATTCTTGTTAGTTTTCATCAAATATTTCACACTGACATGATGTATGCAGTCTGCTAAAAGTCACTAACGTAGACTTTCAAAAATAGTTTTAAACATCTGGTTAAAAACATAGCTTTTTATATACTGTGATTGGTAGTTCATCCTTTTCAAAGAAGTGTTGTGCCAGTTCTTTGTTGTGCCTCTGACTTCTGTTACTTTTTGTACTCAAAAATAATTTGAAAAAGTTTAGAAGGAAAATTTAAAAGCAGAGCAAAGATGATACTGGCAGCTTTTTAGAGTGCCAGAGTTTTAACTGTTTTCTGCTGAAGTGTTTGCCTGACTTTCCATTCAAAAAAAAACGTTTTAGTACATAGTATTGCAGGCAGGGCTGAATGCATGCCCGCAAAGAGCAACAGGGTAAAAGTCTGTGTGTATTCTACGTGTACCACACTATTCAAATCAATCTGTTCAGGTTAGTTTCCATTCTGAGGAGAGCTTAGAAACACAACTACCAGTTTTGGTCACGTGCTGTTTCGCATCAATTAAAAATAAATTAAATTTCATGCAAAGAACCCAACTTAAAAATCCCAGCAAACAACAACAGAACCTTTCCACTAATGATTTTCAGTCATCAGAAGTGGAGAGAGACTCAGACAGCAGACAGCATGGTCCCAGCATGCTTTTTGCCTTTTTTTTTGTTTGCACAGTAGCTGTCAGTTGCAGCCCTGCAGGTAGTAGAACCCAGTGGGAAGAGGGGCGGGACAGAGCGATGCTGCCTGAACTGACAGCAAATTTAAATTACTGAGCTTTCTTTTTCTTTTTTTTTTTTTTCTTTCTTTCTCTCTTTTCAAGCCTTCTTTTTTTTCTCCTTTTTTTTTTTTTGTATTTTTCTACTCTGCGACAAACTGAAAAGATTCTAGCACACGCTAATTTAACAACCCTGCTTCAGCGTCTTATTTTTTTTCCCCCCTTCTGCTTCCAGGATAATTAAAAGAGAAACCTGTAAAAGCAACATTCCTTCAAGCAAGTTGGTGCTGCAACGTGCTGGTAAGACAAATTTAATTTCTTTTTTTTTTTCCCTTCCTCATCTTATCCTTTTTTGGAGCTGAAATCTTTTGTATCTCTAACGCAGTCATAAGTGTGGTTCCCCTGCTGTGGAGGGTTAGGATGTAATGCAAAGGTGTAACTGCTTGGTATGTGACCTTCTCCTATTATTTAAAATGGATAATAACAGCTTTCATGTTTGTCCTCATGATGCTTTTCTTTCTGTGAATTGACTATTTGCTCAACAGAAGCAGTACTGTGATTGTCGCACTATGACAATGAGGACTTGATTGTTTTTTGGTTACTGTTCCATGCTCCTATCAGAAAAGATACTTGTGTTGGGGGTTTTGTGTGTAAGATTTTTTTTTTTCCAAACGTTGCCTGAAGCACCAATACAACGGGGGTGGAGATGGGGGTGGAGGAGATGGTCTTAGGTATCGTTCTGCCTGTTCAGCTGTTTACTAGGTAGGGAAGTGCAACACTGAAACTTTTTTTTTAAAATAAATAAATATTTCTCAGCTTGCATCAAGTGGGGTCAGTATATCTAGGATTTATTGTTGTCGAGTGCTGCATAAAGTTCTTGCTGTCCCTTACATTGTTCTTCTGGAGAAGGGGGGGAGGGAAGTTGCACTTCATATCTTGTCATAACATTGTAGTGGTTAATTGCAAGAAGCTGGGAAACTTTGAGATGAAATACCAGCCTCTGCTTTTGTAAAGAATGAGGTTGTTGCTGTAGACAGTTTCCTATGAATACAAGCCTGACAGACACAATCAGATCTGTAGTATACATGTTCCTGCCTTGCAAGTCCCCTGATTTCCAAGGTCTGCTTTCCAGTCTTTTTCTGGCACTAATACATTATTTATTTAAATTTTTGTTTAGAAAATGAGCTGTGGTTTACTTTTGCTTTGTATTTACCCTTATACAGTTTATAAGGTGATTTTTTTTTTTTTCTCAGGCTTTCTGGATGTAATTCTGCCAAATATTAAATGCTACAACACCTGCTGAAATCAACAGGAAGGCTTAGCCTGTCTTGTATTTAAGAGGAAATTGCTGAGTACCAGGAGAATTGGATCTTATGATTGTCTCGTGTCTCTCTTTGCCGAACTGCAATTAGTTGTTGTTAAACTTAAGACTGAATGGTGTAGACTTTTACTGAAGTATTTAGAATAAACACCACTCTTACAGTTAGTTGTTCACAGGTTTGTGGCCATGATGAGGAAAAGTTTTTGAACATAGGATTGGATTTTTCAGAGAAATCTAATGAAGTTAGAAAGCCAGTATGATTCAATCATCTAACTCCTTGAAAGCTGTTTTCCTTGATACTTTTTTTTAAAGTGTCTTGCAATTAATCATCTGCAGATTGATACATCAGACTTTCCAGACTCAGAGGTCTGTTTTGCCAAATACATACTGTCATGTCAGGAGCAAAGTTGTGCAAGAAAAGTGGAGATGAGGAGCAGTCAGGGACTACACACAGACTCCTTTTCGTGTCCCTGGAGAGAAGGAGGGGACGTGTCAATACCATATGGAAAATCACATTCTTTCACAGCAACTTGGTTAGGGCACAGGGTTAAGGGCGCTGCACTTGCAGAAGTTCATCACTGCCTATTTCATCCTTAATTTCAGGCACTGCAATACTTGTCTGAAGGTTTGCTTGGCTTGTGCAGAAAATGCTGTTGTCTTGTGAAATGAGGTCATTGTAGCTCCCACATCTTGCTTTTGCCCTGACAACTTGCCTCCCCCAACCCCAACACCAAGGTCTGCAAAGCTCAGAAAATTAGGCTTTGTCCCTTGTAATCCTAAACTCCCACCCATTTATAACCAGAGAAGAAAAGGATTGAATTCAGCGTTCTTGTTATGGAAATAAGTTTTTATTCACTCAGTATCAACTGACAGTTAGAAGCGTATCTGATGCAATATGAATAAACTGTAGACTGTTGACAGTAAATTATGCAGCTATAGTCTCACATTCTCCTAGAAACAGTGCTTTACACTGCTCAAGTAGCCTAATGGGGTGAAACAACTACCAATACTCTCAAATGAGTTTCCTAATCACCCAAAGACATGAGAAGTCCATGGTGGTTGATGGCCCATATTGGGCATCTCACCAATGGGAGAGGCTACATGGAGTTGAGCTTGAGTGCAGACAGGGGTATTCTGTCAGAGAGGAGATGTCAACGTTACTGTTATGGGGCAACATGAAAACATAGCACAGCCCAGTTTAGATGTTGAGTATGGCAACAAGAATTTGTTCCTAAAGTTAAGAAAAATCAGATAACTGTAGTTTAAAAAAAAAAAATGTAGTCTTTAGATATATATTTTTTACTGAATCTGCACACTTTAAATTGCTGTTGGCTTCTAGCAATACTGTCTTTTCCCCAGTTCTTGGAAATTTCTAGCTGAATGGAATTGCTTTCATAGTAACAAAAAAAGCAAGCCAGAAAACTTGCTGTAATTTCCTGTCAGTAACACAGAAATAAGAAAACACTAGGCTAATAAAAATGATAATATGAGTTTACAACTGTTAACAAGATTCCTGAATAGAAATGGGGCTATTATGCACAAAGAACTTCTATCATCACTAGAGGAATGTAGTATAAAATTATGAGTTTTATTATTAGGGCCCTGTCATCCAATCAGAAATCAACCCATAATCTTACTTGTGAAATGCCATAAGTTTTGGCATCTTTCCTCACCTCCTATTAATAAAATATTAAAGAAATTTTATAATTAGAAACTTTGATTACTTAACTATGAATTTTCTGTGCAGGAAAAAGCTGACATAATACTGTACTTCTTCCACATCTCCAACTCTCCATATAAAATCTCTGCAAGTCTGTCTTGCACACAGCAGGAAGCACTGGAGTAATAATTATCATGGGCAATAATGATGGGGTTTCATCAGCTTCTTTCTCCTGAGAGAGGCCAGATTCTCAGACTTTTCTCAGGACTCTGAAGAAGTACTTAAGAATATGCCATAGCAAAAACTGAATGAGATTATTTATTAGTATTTCTGGTCAGCTGAATTGAGCTATCATAAAGTTATGACAAAATCCTTAGGTTTTAACCTCCTCTGAGGACTTTTTTTTTTTTTTCTCATTCCTGTAATCAAAGACTTTTACATTTCTCTCTCTAACAGCAAATGATTTATGGCATTATAAAGGGTTTGCTGTATTTCCGATTGATTTAACAAATCAAATGGAATCAAGTCTAGTGGAAGACGTCCCTGCCCATGGCAGGCTGGTTGAAGCTAGATGATCTTTGAGGTCACTTCCAACCCAAACCATTCTATGATTCTATAATTAGCTATGATCTCCTTTCAGCAAGCACCACTTTTGAAGCTCTACATCATCAAATGAATCAAGACCTCTGTACCTGGCTTAGTGTGCCCCCAAGTCTCTGGTCCTCCTTTGCTAGTTGATCAATAACATAGTGGGCTAACACTGGCCAAGACACACTGCTTCCACGAGCCTCCCATCACTCCCAAGATACTACAGTGCACAATATTTGTCATAGAATCATAGAATCATTTAGGTTGGAAGGGCCTTCCAAGATCATCAAGTCCAACCACCGAGCCACCAGGGCTCCAAAGTCCTCTGCTAAAACAGATCAGAATCTGTAAGGGTTGGAAGGGACCACAAGGATCACCCAGTTCCAACCCCTCTGCCATGAGCAGAGACACCTCCCACTAGATCAGGCTGCCCAGAGCCTCATCCAGCCTGGCCTTAAAGACCCCCAGGGATGGGGCCTCAACCACCTCCCTGGGCAACCGATTCCAGGGATTAAGAATATAAATAATGTTTTACTCTGTTAAGGTAAACACTAAAATATTAGCAAGAATGAAACAAAGCTAGAAGAGAAGTAGAGCCCCAGAGAGCTCAGTTCTAGAATATAATTAACACAAAAAGTCTTTCTTGGTTGGTTTGCATGTTCTGTGGCCAGTATAGGCTGATAATTTAGCTCCTGTCCTAAGGCTGAGGTGATTCGAGAGACCTTGGAGCCACGTATTTCTGCTCCCATTGTTAAAGACACTTCTTGTCATCTTTCTTGGGGTTGGTAACAAAAGGGAGAAACCCAAAGTTCTGCATGTAAATTTTTAAAATTTGCTTTCCCAAAATAATCTCCAACTGCCTGTATATTGCCTGTATAAGTGCTGGGTCTCTGTTCATGGTATTTGGGCACCAGAGGTAGGATTCACCTCATCCAAATTTAGATATCAATACTGTAAACACCTACATCTGAGCTAAACACTTCAGGGTCCTTTTACAGGCAAGGGAAAAAAGCAGGTGCTTTCAGGGAGTGATTTATCTCACCTACTTTAAACATCTCTTTTCTTTGAATCCCACTGAAGGACATCACATTCAAGACTCAGATCATTTAACCTCCTCTCCTCCTCTGATTTCCTTAATTACCCATACTGTTGCATTGCTAAATTTAGACATCTTTTCCTTGACTCTCTTGTAAATACTTCATGAAGTAAGAGTGCTTAAAACCCTGTAAATTGCAACACCTTGAAAAATAGTCATAGTACGGGTGACTTACTGAGCCTTATATACCTGGCAGTGGGCTTAGAGCAAAGCTAAACATAGTGAAGTTAGGACTGGATTGCACAGACAAGGTAATGTCACTGGCATATACCATGAGTCCTCAAGGGCTGCTGGGGGGATGCTGTCACAAGCACATTCCAGGCAAAGTGTTTAGTGTATAATTCATCTTGTTCCTCATGGTTACTTTTGTTAGGCTGAACTGATGTAGTGGAAGGAGACGCTGTGATTGGTTTATTGTTCTACTTGCAGACCAGTGGCATTTAAAAGTTATGCTGTAATGCTTTAAAAAAAAAATTAAGTCAGGAAACTCCATGAATATGATGAAGACTAACTAATTTAGGCACTAGTATTTTAATGAGCTGATGCTCCTGATGTATGTTCCCTTACCCAGAGGAATCTATGTTCATTTGGAAGCTTCCAGACAATTTGGCTTCCTAAATTTGTACAGCTAAGTC